TTGTCTCTTTCAGTCAGTTGACCATGTCGACCGGGCTTATGTTTATCAGACTCTATATGCCGTCATAACCTTTGATACTTGTGACACGACAAATAAATTGGCAACTTCAGTCACAGAGGCACCAGCTAAGCGGACACCAAAAATTTTAAGCTCAGTAAGCTCTGACATGACTCCGTATTACTAGCTGTGAATGACAAAAGTGAGAGTTCCCACCTGTTAGCTAGGTGTCTCATCACACAGTGGAAGCAAAAGAATGTTACATCACTTCTGCTTGCATTACGTAACATGTCAGCACTTTTACCCTTCAAATCATGTAGTGTTTCCATTTTTTAGTCTAACCCCTGTATAGGCTAACTGAGTGTCATTAGACCCCAGTGTCCACAGACACCAAACCACTTATTGTCAGAGCAGACTGCCTTAGCTTTGGTAACCCATTGGTGACATGTATGTAAACTGAAGATTGTGATGTGGAATGTATACTTATAGTTATCTAAAATAATGAACGCAATTAAAATAACTTTTTTGCAGTTTAGTGAAAAGACCCCAATGTGATGATCCTCCAATGTACATGACTGAACCACTGCATTGCTAATTGTATTGCGGAACAATAGTAGCTGCAAAAACCTCTGAGTGTGTACCCAGACATTCACTTTCCTGTGGCAATGTTTAGGCTGCGCTGAATGCTGGAAGCAAATTTTCTTTCATTGGTTTCTCCAGAAGCCCACCTAGGCAGGAAAGCATTTCAAAAACACAGAGAAAGAGTTGCATATGGGGTGCCACGTAGGCAATACATACAAAGCCTAAATGTTAATCCATCTTGTCTTTTCAGCATTATTTATTTCAGGTACTTATATAGCATTGTCAATTTACACAGCTTTACATATATATTGTACATTCACATCAGTCCCTAACCCTCAAGGGGTGTACAATCTAAAATCCCTAACCCTCAAGGGGTGTACAATCTAAGGTCCCTAACCCTCAAGGTGTATACAATCTAAGGTCCCTAACCCTCAAGGTGTATACAATCTAAGGTCCCTAATCCTCAAGGGGTGTACAATCTAAGATCCCTAACCCTCAAGGAGTGTACAATCTAAGGTCCCTAACCCTCAAGGTGTATACAATCTAAGGTCCCTAACCCTCAAGGGGTGTACAATCTAAGGACCCTAACCCTCAAGGTGTATACAATCTAAGGTCCCTAACCCTCAAGGGGTGTACAATCTAAGGTCCCTAACCCTCAAGGGGTGTACAATCTAAGGTCCCTAACCCTCAAGGTGTATACAATCTAAGGTCCCTAACCCTCAAGGGGTGTACAATCTAAGGTCCCTAACCCTCAAGGTGTATACAATCTAAGGTTCCTAACCCTCAAGGGGGTGTACAATCTAAGGTCCCTAACCCTCAAGGTGTATACAATCTAAGGTCCCTAACCCTCAAGGGGTGTACAATCTAAGGTCCCTAACCCTCAAGGTGTATACAATCTAAGGTTCCTAACCCTCAAGGTGTATACAATCTAAGGTCCCTAACCCTCAAGGGGTGTACAATCTAAGGTCCCTAACCCTCAAGGGGTGTACAATCTAAGGTTCCTAACCCTCAAGGGGTGTACAATCTAAGGTCCCTAACCCTCAAGGGGTGTACAATCTAAGGCCCCTAACCCTCAAGGGGTGTACAATCTAAGGTCCCTAACCCTCAAGGGGTGTACAATCTAAGGTCCCTAACCCTCAAGGGGTGTACAATCTAAGGTTCCTAACCCTCAAGGGGTGTACAGTCTAAGGTCCCTAACCCTCAAGGGGTGTACAATCTAAGGTTCCTAACCCTCAAGGGGTGTACAGTCTAAGGTCCCTAACCCTCAAGGGGTGTACAATCTAAGGTCCCTAACCCTCAAGGGGTGTACAATCTAAGGTCCCTAACCCTCAAGGTGTATACAATCTAAGGTTCCTAACCCTCAAGGGGTGTACAATCTAAGGTCCCTAACCCTCAAGGTGTATACAATCTAAGGTTCCTAACCCTCAAGGGGTGTATACAATCTAAGGTCCCTAACCCTCAAGGGGTGTACAATCTAAGGTCCCTAACCCTCAAGGGGTGTACAATCTAAGGTTCCTAACCCTCAAGGGGTGTACAATCTAAGGTCCCTTACCCTCAAGGGGTGTACAATCTAAGGTCCCTAACCCTCAAGGGGTGTACAATCTAAGATCCCTAACCCTCAAGGGGTGTACAATCTAAGGTCCCTAACTTACATTCATACACATACTAGGGCCAATTTAGACAGGATCCAATTAGCCTACCAGCATGTTTTTGGAGTGTGGGAGGAAGCTGGAGTGCCTACAGGAAGCCCACGCAGGCACAGGGATAACGTGCAAACTCTAGGTTGGAGGTGCTGTGGCTGGGATTTGAAGCAACGCCCCTAGTGCTGCCAGGTGGAAGTGCTAGCCACTGTGCTGCCCAGCACTGTTAATGATATTACTTCTAAATAACTACTAGAACATACTTGAAGCAAAGCTGCAAATCACACCTTCACTGACCAATCATCTCATGGGTTAATTGGAAACTAATGACATAAGCGAGAGCACATCACTTGGCATTGTAATAAATACTGGAATGTACCCACAGATGCAGAAAGGTGGTAATTATTCTGTTTACTTTCAAACGCCGCCAGATGAAGTACAACATAGAAGGTTGATGTCTCTGCCATTTTTCCAAAGGGATGGCCTGTAGCTGTAGATTTTAAGTTCTTGTTTGACAGAGTACATTTCCTTATGATCCAATTCATATTCATTAGTGTACGCCTGTTCTGACGTGCTGTTTTCCTACGTGCTTTGTGGTTTGGTAATGACATTGATGATATTGTGATGATAGCAACCTTTCCTTGTCTCTTTTGGTAGACAGCCTTCATTAAAAAAAAATAAATAAATAAAAATAAAATATATATATAACTGAACTGAACTTTGAAGGGGAAATCTTGAATTGATGAATTGTATGCAGCAGCCTTTAGTTTTCTTTTCTGCCCAACTGCCAGCATGTTCTGACTGGGCAAAGTTTCAGCACTTTTTGGATACAGCCGGAACTAAGCCACTCTCTCCTAATCCCTATACATGCCTATTCACCCATCACTACGATAGGTTGCCTCCCAGGCCAGTAGAAATGTGTGGGACGAAATGGGGGCAGGCATGTTTTGACACTACCAGGAAGTATCAAAGGTTTGCCAAATCAGACCTGCCTGGCATTTGGGCTTGGGAGGAAAGGAGGGGGGTGGCTGAAATCTGCTCCAGGTCTGCACAGGCATATCTAAGTTCTTCCACTCTATATCAATCAGCGGGTTTCTTGCAGTTCGGTTCACTTTAAGCTACCCTCAGCAGAGGCACAATGGCTATCAATGGCTATCAAGTCATCCCCTAGTCATTATTTGCATGCACACACAGTAAGGGAGCAGATGAGCAGTTTGTAAAACATTGGCAGTCTGTCAAATCAACTTTACCCTCTTGAAGTTTATTACCAAGCATGACTTTAGGTGCCTGCTCGTTAGATTACCATCAGGATATGCAAATTCTCCTTTTAGTGAATATTCCATGGAAGCAGAAACATTGAGATGGAATGTGTATCACCCTTATCTTGTGGGATAATAGGTGCACTGAGGAGGTCAGCAATAGCCTATGGAGTATGCTGAGCACCTACCTGGGCAGTGTGGCTAAGGCAGCAAACAAGGTTCCTATCAAAGCAATGATGTTGCCTATCTACTTTGCTAGTCATAGGCTGCAATGTTACTTGAAGATTTAATTTGCAGAAAAAAAATGAGAGCACAGTGTGACTATCGCTGTTATAGATAACCAGCACACTCTTAAAGTGAAATTCACCACATTCTTCCCAGTATCCATCCTACCCCATCAAAAATCAATGTTCTGAATAATTCTGGTCATTTGCAGCATTTCTTTAATCCATTTAATCCATTTGTGTACTATATGCCCACACCATATTGAAGAAAAACAATGCCAATAGACAAATGCAAGCTGCCTTCTGCAAGTTGCCTCTCTAGCATGCTGATCCAATGGCTTCAATGCTTTCTAGGCCACTCACCCGGGATAAAGGAAACAGATCAGGAGTTCTGACGTTACAATTTGCAGGCTTGTCTTGGATCAGTGACTCATAAAGCACTGGAGCTAGATATAGCCAGGAAACCAACATTTTCAGATTAATAATGGCAATGGTTAATAATGGCAACTCCAGTATTTCTCTCAACACACATTTCCTTTAATAGATAGATAGTTTCTCTAGTAATTCCCAGATTACTAGGATAAGGTGCCCACCAAGAAGCTTGCACGTCATAGAAGTTGAACTGGTGAGGCTGTAAATTTTTCACTTAAATGTTGACCCCACCAACATCACAGTCGCCTTTCTTTTGCTTATTTACCAACTAATTTGGTGGCAAGGGTAACAAAATGTACCTCCAGGCACATGTGACTCACTTTTTATTCTCCCTTGCCTGCTCAGGCACCTAATGCTGTCAAATGAGTGAATGGGAGAGAGTCTTTAAAACTGTATAAGTTTCACTGATATTTGTCTAATGCAGACCATACACATAACAATGAATGAACAATTGTGAATATAGTCATTTCAGACAATCCTTTATTTTAAAACATTTAGCTCAACAAAAATTGCATCAATTTTTGTATGGATTATGCAGCAACAGGACATCCATGGATTCACGTACAAAGGTTACTGTGTAAAGCAGCCTTTCTCAACTAGGGTTCCTCTAAAGGTTGCTAGGGGTTCCTTGAGAAACTAGCAATTTCTGCCTCCCAGAGAAGTTACCACTGACACTAATAATCTTTTCAGTCATCTCTAAGGGGGAAATCTTACCACTCACCAACATTGTGAAGGGCATTCTTCCCAGTAATCCACAATGTAAGGGATATTCCTTTCACTGATCACCAATGTAAAGGGCCTTCTTCCCACTGACCATCAGGGTAAGGAGCAGTCTTCCCATTGACCACCAGTGTAGGGGCATTCCTTCCACTTCTCACCAATCTAATTGGCATTCTTCCCACTGACCACCAATGTAAGGGGCATTCTTCACACTGACCGCCAATGTAAGGAGAATTCTTCCCACTGACCACCAACGGGAGCATTCTTTCTACTAACCACACATTTAAGGAGCATTCTTCCCACTGACCATCAAAGGAGTCCATTCTTTCCACTGACCAACAATGTCAGGAGCATTCCTCTCAATAACCACCAATATATGGGACATTCTTCCTACTGACCATCAATGTAAGGAGCATTATTCCCACTGACCATTAATGTAATGAGGCTCTTTTCCATCAACCACCAATCTAAGGGGGCTTTACTCCAACGATCACCAATGTAATAGAACGCTTCACTGACCACCAACGTAAGGAGGTAAATCTTCACTGACCACCAGTGTAAGGCCCCTTCTACATTTGGTGGACTCTGCCAGGAGTCTGCTTGCTCAGCAGGGAATCTGTCCACTGATCTCCACTGAGCCAGCGGATGGCTGGTCTATGTCCGCTCCACTTATGCGGAGGGGACACAGCCCGCTGTCCTCTATGGGTAGTCGGATGTAAATTGAGCACCTGTCCATTTACACCCGACTGACATCCGATCCGCTAGATGAATCCGTCTGTTTTTAGCGGGTGGGATCAGATCAGATGTAGGCAGGCATAAATGGACACAAGTCTATTTACATCTGTTGCTTCATAAAGGATAATAGAGGGTCTGATCGGGTCTGTCTAAGAAACTGATAGGCGGACACGATCGGTCCACCTGTGTGAAAGGGGCCTAAGAGGGCGTTTTTCGACCGATCACCAATGTGAGGTAACACTTCATTTTCACGCCCTAAGTTGGACATATTTATTATAATTACTTCATTTAACTGTAATTTCTAAAAATAATTTTGTTGTATAGCGTAGCCCTTGGCTGTCAAATATGCTAAGTACAAAAAAATTCCTTGTTTTTTCATTTGTTTTTAACTGTTCATACTAATGTCCCATGAATTGTAGGTATAATAGGTAAATTATCAGGGGTTCTTCAAGACCTGAAAATTATTTCAAGGATTTTTCCACATTGAAAAGGGTGAGAAAAGCTAGTGTAGCTAGAAAAGATAGAATATACTGTACATCTTTGTTTTATGTGGCTCTCCAAGGCTGATTTTTAAAGATTAATGTAAAAGACATTGCTTATATTCTTGTACACCAGGGGTCTCCAAACTTTCTAAGCAAAGGGCCATTTTACTGTCCTTCAGGCATTAGAGGGGTCAAACTGTGTCCAGTGGGGGTAGAAAATGCTCCGGGATCAGTGCCCCATAATTGGTTTTAATGGGACGAATAGTGCCACATCATTGGTTTTAATGGAAGGAATTGTTGGCGTCAATGAGAGGATTAGTGTCCCATTGATGGTGTCAGTAGGGGGAAAGGTGGTCCATAATTGGTTTTAATGGGAGGAATAGTGCCACATCATTGGTTTTAATGGAAAGAATAGTGGCTCATTGTTGTTGCCAATGAGAAAAAATAGTGTACCATTCAGGGGCGGCCTGACAACTCATGGGGCAATAGGGGATCATGGGGCCCCTGTGTCCCTGCCCTAATTTAAAAAAGCCTATGAAAAAGGTACCAGGGGCATCTCATGGGGCCCCCTACTGACCCCAGGCCCTTGGGCAGTGCCCGAGTTTCCAAATGGTCAGTCCGCCCCTGGTCCTATTGATGGTGTCAGTAGGGGGAAAGGTGCTCCATCATTGGTGTCAGTTGGTGGAACAGTACCAAAGGGCCAGATAAAGGCAATCAATGGGCCATATCTGGCTCCCAGGCCACAGTTTGGAGACCACTGTTGTACACAGTAGAACATGGTTCATTTTGCTGTTATGTGTAACATCTTTTTAATGTCCAGTTTCCATTAACACTTTAATTTTCAGTCTTTCACAGGGGTCTTAGTAGATCTTTATTATTATTGTACAGTCTTGGAGAATTAAACAAACATCCTTTGAACTACGAATGATTAAATACTTTTTTCACATTTCTGTATTTGGCAAAATTACATGAAACACATGGTTTAACATTCCTATTACAGTTCACTTTACTAAATTTCAAGCTGTGATCTATAGTGCCCTCTTCAGGATGAAAAATAAGTTGACGTTATGCAAGACGGAGGAATTGTATAAAACAGATACAAGGGGAGAAATCTGCACCAAATATCCCAGCAAGAGAACAAAGTGTACCAAAGAGTATAAAAAGTAAAAAAAAAAAAAAACTTTTTCTTATCTTATACTTGTTCTGTTAATGTGTTTGTAAAGCAATACATAAATAGGGAATGGTTAAAACCCCTGTCATCTTTTTTTTAAAATATCCTCTCCTGGAGGTACAATTGGAAGTGAAAAGAAATGTCTCCAAAGCAAAAGGAAACCCTGTTCCAGTTGACATGGAAAAGATGTGCCCATTGGAGGATTTCCCTTCATTCATGTTAAAGCAAATTTAAACCCAAACACAAATATGTAATATATTGCAGCTTACCAGTCCTTAGGTGGCTACATTCAATTTCCTTTCTTGACTTTTTTAGTTTATTTTCCCCTGGTGATCCTGCCAGTAACACACTTCCTGTCTTAGGGTAGCTACCCTCACTCCTGCATTTTATCTATGGAAAAGCACAGTAGCTATCCTTGGACAGCAGCATTGTCAACCTGTAAAGCAGGGGTCTTCAAACGTTCTAAACAAAGAGCCAGTTTACTATGCTTCAGACTTTAGGGGGTCTGACTGTGGCCAATGGGAGTAAACAATGCCCGATCTTTGGTATTAGAGGGAGAAATAGTAGGTATCATTGAGAGGAATAGTGCCACATTTTTTGTCAGTGGAAGGAATTATACCCCATTGTTGGTATCAGTGGGAGGAATTATACCCCATCGTTGGTATCAGTGGGAGGAATTATGCCCCATCGTTGGTATCAGTGGGAAGAATAGTGTCCCATTGCTGGTGTCAGTGGGAAGAATAGTGTCCCATTGCTGGTGTCAGTGGGAAGAATTATGCCCCATTGTTGGTGTCAGTGGGAAGAATAGTGTCCCATTGCTGGTGTCAATGGGAAGAATAGTGTTCCATTGCTGGTGTCAGTGGAACAAATAGTGTCCCATTGTTGGTGTTAGTGGCAGTAATAATGCCTCAAAGGCCAAATAAAGGCAAGCAAAGGGCCACAGTTTGGAAACCACTGCTGGAGAGGGTGTTGTTATATAGGGTAGTAGATTAAGATGAACTTTTCTGAAATGACTAACAAATTAATGGCTTACTCCAGCCAACCCCTATTAAGCAGCTGTAGCTAAAGTTTTTTTTTTCTTTTAGGATAAAAATGTACCATTTTAAACACCACTGTAAATGTTACATGGCTTAATTCCAACCCTACAACTGATATTTTATTGGTCAGTTTGGTCTGTTTACAGAAGTTGAAAAATAGCAGACTTACTGGCAGGATCAATGTCTAATTAGAGGTGAGTGGGGGGAGGGTGCGCTAATACGCATCTACCCTGTTTGCATTTGGGGATGGACCATCAGCAATGGGGGTTAGTAGAAGGTCCATGTGGAGGTGGTGTCCAAGTCCATCTGTAGTGGGGGGCTTGTAGTAGTATAGACTTGTTCAAGGAGGCAGCCGGCTGTAAGAGCTTGTAGATACTCCTAATGCAGGTAGAGAACAGAGACAGCAGCGCCACTCTAAGTGTAGACAGTTAAAATCAGGCAGATGTATTGGTAAAATTGCACTCATATAGATAGGTAAAAGGTAGGCATGTCAAGTAATGGAGGTCCAGTGGGAGCATCAGGTCCTTTGGCCACGCTCTGGGTGTTTTCCCACCGCTCCAGTGGTGTCCAGGGCTCGGGGAGTAGCAGAGGGGCGCAGGGAGGCTCACAGGGATGATGTCACCTCATGGACTGGGTTTCCGGAGCATGCTCACTTCTTTTTCAGACCTGATTGGACCCTTTGTGTGAATTGGGCTTTACCCACTTTATCCAAAACTAAAAAAAGAAACGTTTGGCCTTTACATGCACTTTAAAATCCTTATGTGACCTTTTGGTATCTAGCAAGGGTAATAGAGGGAAGAAATATTTGTATTGCAAGTATAGAAGTACTGTAGCTACCAACAGAACTGACATTTTTTAAAAGTCTTGTAAAATTGGAAAAATGATTGTTTTTTGCAAAACCTATGCTAGGTTCATATATGTGCGTGTGTTCCCAACCCACAGGAAAAAATACACACATTGGGGTGCCATTATTTCTAAATGTCACCCTGCGCATTGGCAAATGGCATATGTTTTTGCACGTGCAAGACTGCATGGTGCTGCAGCGCATGGTTCCATTGGGCACATAATATATGAGCCAGAGAAGAGACTTCCAATAGTGCAGTAATTTTTATTGAGGAATGAATCAATAACTTTATTTCATTACTAAGGTGAATCCCTGGTATTCTATATGTCTATATGTATTTATATAGCGCTGCATATTATATATATAGATTTATGAGGATTCAGAGGTTTTCCTTTATGCTAGCTGCTTCACCATTTTTACCTAGCACTCATTTGATTATATTTACAACTGCAAGGTGGATGGAATCCAATATTGTATTCTTGACCAAATACATCAAAATATTAGAGAGGAGAGTAAAATCAATTGCATTTTCAAAAACACTGTGGATTCACCAATCATGAACAAAAAAAGCACCAGATATATTGCACAATTTAATTTAGTTGCTTCTTATAAGTGTCATCCAATGTGGGAAATATTGACCCTAGATTAATTAAACCTTTGGATTAAATTTTGTCCAAACCTGGCATCACTTTGAATTTTTCCATTCTCCTGGTAGGGTAGAGTAGAAAGTCAAGAAGGCCAGTCCAGACTTCCTATAAACTGACTACAAATCCAGCCTGTTCCTTGTAGATACCAAGCCACATATAATCCATTTTGTGATTGTTAACAACAGGGCCTCTTTTTGTTTGGGTATACCTTGAGTATCTGAAGCAGGTTACTCATCAAAACTTTTACTTATCTCTCCCCAGTCCAATGAAATATCAGTTGTGCATTTTGTCAGTGCAGCACGACTGCTTGTCAAAGTCTCTTGGCCAAGCCTGCGCATGCTCTCTGCATTTTCCATTCATTCCTATGGAGGGTTTATATTTTCTAGGTTAGGGATGGGCAAGTATAAGACTGTTGGAGCTATAAATACAAAGAGTCAAGTGCACTCCATGCACCAATGAGGCCAAGTTATAGGAGGGTGTTGTTGTGAATTGGGAAATGAAGCCACCAAAGCATAAGTCCAATCAAAGATAGCACCTGTACGCCCCATTTAGATAAACAAAAAAAGTGTTACTAAACCCACAACAGTAAAATCAGTCTGTAGATGCAGTAAAGCATGTTTGTTATACTCACTGTGGAACCTAAGGGGTTAATCCTCTGCATTGTTTTAAAAATTCTGTTTGATCCTGACTTCTCTGATTCTCCCCTTCTTCCAATTTCCCCCTCTTATCTCCTGATAAGACACATCATGTAGAGTCACTCCTCACATGCTACGTTTGGTGTGTAGAGAGATGTTTTTTCTCTTGGGAGAGTGCATGCCAATCAGCACTGTCCA